AAGGAATACGTAACTCCTATTTTACATAATCTGTTGAAGAATATAGTACTTGAAGATGAGCTTCCAAGCTCATTAGAGAAAGTCAGTTAATAACCTTGAGACCATAATGGAGCAAGTAAATTACAAGGAAAGAAAATGACAAACCGATTTCACGGGTGAGCATTCATTGAGAAATGAGAAATGGAATGTTAGCTAAGTAAACTCAATAGTTGTATTTTTAAATTAACAGAATGAAATGATTATATAGTTTATCCCAAAAAAGCAAGTGTGCCATCAAAACATATTCCACATCAGATTATTTAATTATCAGAAAACCTGCTAGTGTAATTTACTACACAAATGCAGTTAGAAGACAATTACATGATCTTCCCAATACATTATTTAAAAAGCATTTTTAAAAGTCCAATGCATGTTTAAATGGAAAACTCATAGAAAAAGAGACTCAACAGACAATCTATAAGAACAAATAAAAGAACATAGCAAAATTGTTAGACAAGAGATCAGTATTAAAAATGAATCCCATTACTTTAAAATTTTTTCCAGTAATAACGCCTTTAAAAATATAATAGACAGTAAGATTTTATTTACAATAGAAACAAAATCTGTAAAATATTTAGAACAACAAAAAAGTCATGAGATCTGTATATAGGGAAAAAATCACTCTATTAAGGACTTTTTTTCTAATTAAACTTTTTATTTTGAGATAATTGTATATTCACACACAATTGTAAGAAATAATATAGAGAGATCCTGTGTATCCATTGCCCAGTATCCCCAGGGGTAATGTCTTGAAAAACTATGTACAACTCACAGACATTGATCTAGTCCACCTACCGTATTCAGATTTCCCCAGTTTTACTCATATGTACTCATTTATGTGTGTACATGTGTAGTTTTGTACAATTTTATCACATGTGTAGGTTCATGTATCCACCACCACACTCAAGATACAGAACAGTTCCCTCACCAAGGTCATTTAAGCTGCCCTTTTCTAACCCCCCATCCATCTGCCTCTGCCCCCTCTCTAACCCTAGCACCCACTAATCAGTTCTCCATTTCTACAGGTTTGTCATTGAAAGGACAGATGAGATATGAATGAAATGACATAGTATGTAGCCTTTGGGATTGGCTTTTTTTGAAACTCAGAATAATTTTGTTGAGGTCTATCCAGTCTGTTGTGTGTTTATCATGGGTGGTTCCTTTTTATTGCTGCATAGTTATCCATGGTATGAATTTACCATAATTTACTTAACCATTTACNTGAAGTGTCCCTGCAAGGCGAGTTCCAGAGGAAGCTTTACAAGGAGCTGGTGAGGAACTACAACCCGTTGGAGAGGCCCGTGGCCAACGACTCGCACCCGCTCACCGTCTACTTCTCCCTGAGCCTCCTGCAGATCATGGACGTGGTGAGTACCGGCTCTGCCGCCGCGGGCTCCCGCGGGTCGTGGAAGCGGCGGGGGGCCAGGCGGTGTGGCTTAGCACGGACACTCTAGCTGGCCCCGGGCCAGGCGGGCCCGCGCTCCGACCCCGACTGGCTTTTGCTCTGCTGTGTGCCTCAGTCTCCCCACTCGCCACAGAGGAACCAGTGAAGCTTGTTCCACCGGCTTGCCACCTGTGCGTGGGTACTTCAGTCACGGCTTTCCCCAGCTTAGAAACTCAGGGCGATCGCATTCTAAGCCAGGAATCAGCAAGAACAGGGTCCTAGTGGTCATACTGATTCCTCGCACGGGGCGGAAGTGTTGGCATGCAGTCTGATATTCCGTGTCAATTTAGCCATTTCTAGACTTTTTGCTGCCGATGGCATGTATTGTAGTTGCTTTTGGCTCTGGGCTTTGCAGCTAGTTAATCTGTCCAGCAGGCGGGGGCAGCTGTGAGCAATTAGGGCTCCCCCAACCCCCCATTCCAATAATGGGCAATGTTTTTTGCCTTCCTGGTGAGGGTAGTGCTGGTACTCCTGCTCTGAGGATGAGCAAGGCTCCATATTTGAGATACACTTGGCCGTCCCTTCAGGCTGCTGCCCCCAGCCCCCCAGGCTGGCTGCCTTGCAAACTTATCATCACTCACTTCAGTTGGTAAACTATGTAATAGCCACGTAAGTTTGTTCTTCTGCTGGTCTAGACTGCTTTGAATATTCAGCTTTCGTTGGCATATCTTTCACACGATACAAATACTTTACCAAATGTTTAACTCATTATAAATGGGATGGAGCGTCTAGTCTGTATGAGGCATTGGATCCTGCTCCCGGCCGTGCAGGGCACAGGGATAATGGTGTTCAGGGGGAGGGAAGAATGTGACAGGAGAGAGGTGTGAGGATAGCCACAGCTCCAGGTACAAAGTGCTGAGAGCCTCCAGAGGGGCTCAGAATAGTGGGCTAAGAAGACAGGCGATACTTCAGAGTCCTACAAATGGAGAGGACCCAGAGGACCAAGATGGCAGCGGCCTAGGGATGCTGAACTCGCCCAGCCCATGAGTAAGATCAAATATGTGCATAGACAGGTAGCAGTTCCTCCTGTGAGACAGCCTAGTGTTGAATAGCCAGCTTCTGACAATAAACAAGAGAAAGAGACGCAACAGAGAAGCTGGGCGCCCTGGAAGCCCTCAGGAGGCTCGGAACTCGCCGGGCCTGGTGCATCTGAGCGCCACTGTGCATAGTCCCGTCCACCCGGATAGGGCGCCGGGAGCTCTGCCCGGGGCTTCGGCCTACCTGCAGGGTCACGNTGCCTCATCCGACATGCAGCTTGTCTCCTGGGTGTGTTATCTATTTCTTAGCTGGCGTTCATTTTGACGCAAGTTGTAATCTTTTTTCAGTCTCATGTATGTGAAGTTAGGAAGTCTTCCTCCAGAGGAATTCTTTTTTTTTTTCCCTTAAGATTTTATTAGGAAACTGGGGGAGGGGAACAGTGTTGGGGAATTGGAAAAGGGAACAGGCAAGTTGTTGTCCTTCAGCCTTAGTTATGGAGGGCGCAGCTAGCTCAGCTCCAAGTCCAGTCGCCATCTGGCTGCCTCTCAGCAGCTCGCGGCTGCTCAGCTCAAGGTGCCGTGTTCCATCTTTGTTGCAGGTGGGCAGCCCACCATCCCATGCCGGAGGCAAACTGGAAACCTTGTTGCTAAGAGAGCACACTCTAACCATTGAGCCATCCTGTCACCTGTTGGCAGCTCAGCGGCAGCTTAGCTGGGGCGCAGCTCACTGGTCCATGTGGGAATCAAACCGACAACCCTGTTGCTCAGAGCTCGCACTCTAACCAACTGAGTCACTCAGCTGGCCCTGGAGTAATTCTTGAATTCTAACCCATGTGGGTAGTACACATTTGGACTCCACACCTAAGCCCAATGCACGTTTGGGTTTCTAAATGTATTGATATTCTCCTCTCTGGAGCCAAAACACAAAACATGTTTCCTCCTACTTCCCTAGGTCACGGTTAGGGTTTCCTGGTCTCCCTTACATGGAAGGGGAGATTTTCCCAAGCTCTGGATTTATGTGGATATCTCCCTTCCAAGTCCCCACCTCTCACAGACTCAAGCTCCACCCCTCGCCCACTCCTGGGCAATGGTAGCCGCTATGGCTTATGAGTAACTTACTCTGCATTTGTTTCTGGCCCCTGCCTTTCTAAGCTCAATTATGTGTTCATTTTCTTTTATTTACCATATCTTTATGTTGGGTATAGGAGTCGGGATGGGGGGTGCTGCATAGCTCAATCAGGTTTACTCCGTATCCTACTCCTTTCATTTTTCAAAAAGAAAAACTGGGTCCTATAGGTGGGGGTGCAGACAGCCTAAGTCACAGACCTACTTACTGGCACAGCACAGGTTGGAATTTATTTTTCCACACGTCAGCTCTAAATTGTAGGCTGAGTGAGTGGATTGTGCCTGTGGGTCCTCCAGGCGCCAGCAGAACACACGGCATAAATAAATACTATTGACCTGTTGTGCCACCGTAACATGGTTTATTTCTAGGTTTCTGATATTATTGGGTACAAGGGACATACGGAAGTAGTTACGCTTTCAGGAACACGATCCCAGTCACTATACTGAAGA